TCCATGATCACCATCTCTATGCGCAACCATACCTTATAACCATAAGTGATCTAGGGATTTTATCTTAAGTGCAATTATAAGATAAATGCTTTCTCTTAAGATAAAGAAATGCCTTATTCATAATATAATTCCAATAGACTGTATTTACAAGTAGAATACGTCCAATTAGATTGGAACGCCGGGTACCCTACTCTAACAAGTATATATTCAAGATTTAACACTCCTTTATAAGAAACTCCTGGAGAGTTGATCCAGTACATCTTGCACGTGCATCAAACCATTATAGTACTGGAAATGCGGAATAGCCAAAATTAAATGTTACGGGAAATGATTATAAATATGGCTACTAAATATGAAGTTGAGCATATGGTTGAGAGAATGTAAATTGAATATCATAGTTGTAGACAACATAATTGCCTATGTAATTTATTTACTATCTCAAATAATGATCCGGATCAGAATAATGAAAGTGCTAGAAGCGCTTAAAGATTGATTGAGATAGAAAGAAAAATAAAGGCATAGTTTTTACTCGCTACACAATATATCCCAGAAGGATAGTATATCTCAGAAGGATAATGATTACTTATATGTGATAGGGTGGTGTGATGTAAATATAGCGAGATTGTGGGTTTACGCAGAGACCCAAAATTTTATAAAATTTCTCTCATTACAAATTATTCCGCAAGTTAATATATATGGCAACAACATTACCATGACTATTGAGTCATATGTGAAAGTCCTGTATAGACTCGAGTACCCGAGATGAAAGATAATTAAATCATTTAATTATAAAGTTGTTGGTAAGATGTAGTACAACCAACAAAATTATTCCTGAAGAATTAAAGTATGATATTCAAGGTAGAACCTTGTGTATATTGATAATATACAAAATGATCATCTCGGTTAAATAGATTATGAACACTATGTAAAAAGATTAAATAAGTTAGCTCATGCTTATAGACGGAGTCATAATAAAACTCTTGGTTAAATATCAATGAGTATTATCTCGACTTGAAGATCGAGTATCTCCTAGAAGGAGTATTAGTAAAGATCTCAAAGAAACTAAAAATATTATTATTACTGAAGAACAAGTACATAAAGATCATATGATGGAAATACAGATAAGAGGTTGTGAATCCTCAATAAAAATGCAAAAAATATTACATAATAGAACCCATTAAAGGAGGGTGCGTCTCGAGAGTATAAACTCCGTAACTCTGCCACCCATGGTTATTATTTGGGTTCATAATGAAAGATCTAAAGGATCAAAAGCTCTTTTTCGCTTGACCCCTTGTGTTTCCACAGAATCTTGAAATGTGATGCATTCTTGAAGCTTTTTGATAAGCTCAGAAGGGGCGTGTCTGCAGATTTGAATACTTCTCTCGTTAAAGGAGATATAAAGGTTTGATATACTCCTTCGTCTAAAAATCCAAGCAAACCATGAAAATAGTTATTAAAATTCAATAGACCTATGGGCTTATTATGAAGTTTCAATTCTGCCCAAGAAGCAATGGTAAACATTGTCATTAAAGTTCCATAACCGCCTGGAAGAATGATAAAAGCGTCACTATTGTTCACCATATCCATCATACAGTCATAAATAGAATGGGTTAGCATCAAACTTGTGGAATCTTTGACGACCCTTGTTGAAGCTCTATGAAAAGGTATGATACTTTTCACTTGTATATCAAAACATTTTCCAGCCATTAAAAGGTTATCAAAGAAAGTGATGCTAGTCCCTCCATACAGTAAATTGATTTTTCGATTCCCCATCTCCCTTGCTAGTTGACTTACAATATCAATATTTTGAGAAAAACTTACCAGTTTAGAACCACCAAGAACACACATGGTTTTGATCGGATGAAGAAATTTATTACCTTGATAAGACTCTGAAACATCCATCTATTGATAAACTAAATTTTGTGAGTTATATGATTATAATGGATGACTCGCTATTTAAAAGGGATGTTTCACAAAACGATAACCGACATATAAGGCGTTAAGTCTTCAAAGAATCTTATCTGTCGGCAGCTATAAGATTTTCTGAAAATTACAGTATAAAATACAAAAATGTATTTTTCGTACTAGCAAGAACAATTTTTACAAACTTGATCTTTTGAAACAATATTTTCGACACTATAACGTTCTTTTTCATCTTTGAAACGAATCCATAGAGACATAAGCTCTCGATGCACATAACCACTCGGATGTGTCTCAAGAATCTGTTGAATCGTTTGATCCATAGATTCTTTACTCAATCCATCCTTTATAAATGATATTTTATCTTCTCGATTTTTGGACACGAACCCCACAGATGTACATCGTGTGTCACAAGTCCATCGAGCGCATTTGAAACATCCACCTAATCTTTTTGCTCTTCGTTTCTTTGCAAAAGTACTTTTACCCATACCTGGCATATATTTGTATAAATTTGGAAACTCTCCAGGCAATCGAACTTTTGCTTCAATCAACCATCGAATATCACTTAGTATATCATTAATCATTAGCACCCTCAATCTTTCTAATCGAGATCGATAAATCCTTTTTATGATATTTATTGGGAGAAAAGAATAATATTTACGGATATTTGAGAGTGCTAAATCCATTTGTGAATTCGGACCTTTGTTAAGAACGATTGAATGATTTACCTGATAATTTATAGAAATGATGCGTATGCGATACGACTCTAAAAACAGAGCTTAAAAGTCTTTGGGCATGATACGCATGTGATACGATTCTGAATTTAAATATTGTGTGCACTTGAAGTGCATTTATTGCCGCCGAAAGATGATGTGATATGTTTGTGATAAATATGAATTATTGTGATGTTTACCGATATAAATGATAATGGTTTGCATGATTTGTGATATGTGATGTTTTGTTCTCGATTGATGAAAATTATTACTAGCTAAATAAATGTGAATTAATATGAAAAGGGGTACGATATATGGGATTACTACCTTTACATATGTGCTACTAGATATTATGGATCCACTAGATAGCCACATGATTATATGACTCGTAACTTGAAGTTACAAGATGTTTTGAGCAATGAATATGCATATGACATATAACCTGAAGTTACGAGATGATTATGAGATAATGAAAATAAGTGTCATATGAAAAAGCTAGTAATATACCCAACTAATATGATGAACTCTTGAAAGAAAATTGTGCACATTACAAGTAATATGAGTTCAAAGTTCTCATATTATATATTGAAATCGAAAACGAAACGGAGAATATATGAACTTCTCTCAAGAAATTCAATATTGAAAATACAGATCAGTGATTTGTTCAGACGAGGGGGAGAATCAATTATTGAAATTTATCACACTGGAAGTGTGCAAATAAACTGAATGATAATGATGGAGGTGAAATATTATGATGGTGGAATAATACGCTGGAAGCGTTGATATTGTGAAAATTATGGTGAATATATGGAATACGCGTTGTACTCTTTTTCCCTTGACTGAAGTTTTGTCCCATTGGGTTTTCCCAGCAAGGTTTTTAATGAGGCAACATAGATGGCGTATTCACATGAATAGTGTACCCTTTTTCCTTCATTAGGATTTTGTCCCAATGAGTTTTTCCTAATAAGGTTTTAACGAGGCATATTCATGGTATGATAAGGACTACTGGATAAATGATATGATTCCTCACGATGATAAGAGTATTTTGAGTAGTTGTACTCTTTTTCCTTCGATCAAGTTTTTCCCATTGGGTTTTCTTGACAAGGTTTTAATGAGGCAGCACGTGGATACTCCACTACAGATGATATATTTGAGGGGGAGCAAAGTTATGCTTCTACAAATGCTCAGGTTTTGTCCCACCGGGTTTTACTGAGAGAGTAATGTTGTGATTCTAAAATGATCAGGTTTTGTCCCACCGGGGTTTTTCCTGACATATTGAAGCAGCAGTAATTGATGGCCACAAGATAAACTTCAAGATGTTCAGATTATGTTTTGTTCGAATAATGATATTTAAAAATAGTCATTCAATGGGGAGTGTTATAATAATATTACATGCACCTCGTGAGGTGCATAAATATATATAATATTTTATGTGAATGACTATTTTGCCCCTGATGTAATTGTATTATTACGATTGTGCCATCAGAAGTTTTCCTATAAATAGGAGCTTCAGTTATAATGAAAATACAACCAAGAGAAACATTTTCTCTATTCTATTTTTCTCTCTAGTTTTATAACAAATCTAATAAAAAAATCGCACAAAATTGCATCCATCCACTGAAGATTTTTGCCACCGCCAGATACGACAAGGACGACCAGGCCGCTCGAGTAGACAAAATTCCATCTCTGCCCTGCCTCTAGCAGATCTGAAACGACATTGGGTTGTATTGGGTTGTTGGTATAATAAACGGTGAGGGCAGAAATGAGGAAATTGGGGGCTGAAGTAACAATAGAGAGTAAGATTTCTGCTGGAGAGTTGAGGAGCGCTGGTGATGAGAGTCGTGGCGCGCGGGTGAAAATGAACAAAGATATTACGGAAGTGGATACTTAATTAGATTGTAAAATATGAAATCATGTTTCATATAATTGGAATAAGAAAAATTATGTTGTATTTAAGGCAATAAACTTTTAACTCAAACGTGCAGAAGGTAATTTTTCCTTCTTTGTAATTTTTCTGGAGCTTTTCTTAAATATTATTTTCTTGAACTTACAAAACTCGTGCAAAAAAAGCATCCTGAGTGTGCTATTCAGGTCCTAGCCAAATCCAACGCCAATAGAACAGTAAACCAATCAAAGATACGGATTTTGGAAACCAAAGCTATTTGAATATCAAACCCACATCCTATAATATATAGTGAGCAACGTAGATTTTCACAATGTTATGCCTATTCATTGGTCAGCTAGTTGGACATTCTGCACACAAGTTGTATGCCTATTCATTGACAATTTCTATAGCCAATCAAACAAAGCCTAAGGCAAATTTCTTTTTAATAAAGCTCAAATAAAAGTGCTTCATAAATATTTCCTTCAAACAATGCAGTTATAAGCAAACAAGCTGAGCATAAGCAAAATAATTAAGGTAAACATGGTCAACCTGAGCACACACCATCACAACATTAGAAAATCCAAATATTCCCTTGCCCCACAGGAAACATTCAATCGTTCACGCACTCATAAGACTACCCATCAAACAAAAATGAACAACGAACCAAAACCTTAAAAGATACGTTGTGGCTTTCCCATTGTGCTCTTTAAGTACAAACACCTCACCTGATATCAACAAGAAAAGATAGAACATTAAGAGAAGTCATAAGATGGGAACATATAGTTATTACCACTAAAAGTCAAATCATGTACTTACATTCTGCCAATTCTTTTTCAGAAGAGAAACAAGGAAGTTGACACTCATTTGCACATTTTGGAAGATCTGCTTCTCCTCCATGGCGAGGTTTCCAACAGCAACGCCCATGCAGAGCACCTTCTTCAACTGAAACTTCACCATGGCCTTTGTTTCATTCACCTTTGACTCAAGTGATTCCTGGTGAGTCACGAGAGTGGGGAACTTGCCTGCAAATCAACAAAAATATTAAGGGAAGAAAAGAAGCAATGAACAACTTACATTCATCACTATATCAAAAGAAGTGATTAACAACTTAAAAATTCATCACAATATCATCACAACAATCTTAGCTAGTCTATGCAAGTCGTGTACATGAAATCCATTATAAAACCCCAACACAAAGAGATCTTTTAAGGGCTAAGATGAATTAGACAAACATGACATGTTTATTTTATCAACAGCTGGAAAATGCATCAGAGAGATGACGTACATAAAGTATATATTTCACTCAGCATTCATAAAATAATAAAAAAAATCATCTAACTGGCATTAGCCATTAGCCAGAAGTACTTGCCAGCCTTGTTAAGACCAGGTCCCAAGAGACGGGGAATCTGCTTGATAACGGCTTCTGAGGCTAAGAAAGCATGGTACTTTTTAGCAAGCTTCTTCACTAGCTTCTTGTTTTTGTTCAACTTCTTCAAGGCCTCGACATCCATTGACTCCAGCCCGATCTTCTCTGCCTGCAAAAACAGTAGCACATCACATTAACAGGCCAATTGATCGAAAATAAGCCCGCACGATGACAGCTACAAGCGTTGAGAACCGCAAATTTTCAATACGCGCCACATATCGCAAACCTTACCATCAAGAGCATTATCCAACTAAGCATTATTGAAACATTCCTTAGATAAGATACTTTTAGAAACGTGTATAAATCGATTACAAAATGAGATAACTGCATGAAATGCTATTGCTGACCCAAGTTTAACAAAATAAGATATCATATTATTTACTGTGATAAATGCAGAGAGAATTAAAACACAAGGGATATGATGCATTTACTATTCCACTATGCCAAAACACATGTTACATATTCTAAAGCTCTTTCCATTTCTGATGTTGACAAGATCCATTCATTCGTAGAACTATATAAATCACAGAAATTGTGTGCAGCAAGGATTAAGTGCTATACCTCTTCAACATGCTGGGCATCACCAAGCATACAAATCTTCATTTTGGGTCTCGGGATGTGGGGCAACTTGACTGAGCCACTGAATCGCTTGTCCTTCTGGGGGTCATAGTTCTTAAGCCCGATCTGGAGCTCAATTGTCTCCGTAAAATTTCTCTTCTTCTCCTTACTTTCAGCTGTAACCACCGAAATGGCTTCCCTCAGGGCCTCACTCTGAAGCTTACTGTGGAAACAGTGTAATCATATCATCTAATTAATATGTTGATTGAACAAAATAAATGTATAAAGATGCATCTTCATTTCGACGTAGAAAAAGGGCTTGATGAAAATCTGAATTTATGCTCGTGTAACAGGTAGATTTAACTGAAATATTATAAACATCGATTTCTACAACCTTAATCTATATCAAAAATCAAGTCACAAAATTCAACAACTACAAATACGACTACGAATGTAAGAACAAATTGAAGCAGCTAAAACGCCTATCAATATAGAAATGAAAGTAGCAGAGCATAGAATCAAACATTTGAAATACAATAGATGAACTCCTACCTCATGGTTCAAGTCTTGTTGATCCCTGAAATCGCTTCTGCTTAAATTAAAACAGAAAATTCCCAGCAAACACGAAAACGCCCTTATCAGTTAGTTTCAATAATTAGAACGCGAAATGAGCACAAATGCAAATATATCTGGAATAAATATATATTATATTGATAATCCACGGCATGAAAGAATGGGAGCAGGGGAGTGTAGCTGACCTGATAAGAACACCGAGATTAGGGTTTACGATTGAGGTGGAAAACGCTTATATATTGGTACCCCAAACCCTAGAACAAGTATTGTGCTCTCGATCTGGGCTGCTACAAGCCCACTTACAACTTCATTTATTGGGCTGGGTTCTATTGGGGTTTTCGATTAGGCTCATACTTACCTTAGTGATTGATAAATATTTGTAAAAATACTAACTACAAAATTTATTTGCAAATATACCTACTTGACCATAAAAAATTATATCAATGCCAGATGTGTAACAGATTTGGATAATCTCTTGACTTACGGGATTCTTCCATAAATGAAAAAAAATTATATATGGTAAGCTAGATGCAAAATTAAGTTGAAGATAGAATCCTAAAAAATAACATTTCAAACTTGAATTAATAAAATCAGTTTATATACATAAAAACGCGATAAATTTTTTTTATCATATGCCGAAATATACTTAATATAAACCATACATATACATAAAAAAAAAGACAAAAAAAATCAATATATGCTTGTCAATTTCGTTTCAACAGAAAAAATATTTTAATATACCAAACATAAACTATGATAAACATTGAAAACATAAAAAACAAACATTCATTCAAAAACTAATTTATACATAAGCTAATATACCAAACATAAACTAAGATGTACAATAATTGTACCTATCCCAGTATATGTACATATATTGATCATAAACTAATTTCAATGTACAGACTGATCTGGGGATTTCAATGTACTGACCAATTACAGAGTTCAAAAACCCTAAAAAAATTGAAACAAAATATTGATTTTTCTACAACACCTCCCGGCGGCTCCTCCTCTTCCTCTTCCGGCCCCTCCACCACCTTCCCGCTCCCCAACCGGAATGGTCTCCTACTCCCATTCTTAAAACAGAAAACTCCATTACCTTGGCATAGAAACCGGATCTCCGTTCTCCGCCGCCGATCCCTGATTTCTCCGCCGTCTTTCCCTCCGTCCCCGGTGGATTCGCGCGAAGCCAGCCGCTCATCGACCGGACTCTCCCTATACACGAGACCTTCGGTGAACCCGATTCGGCCTCCGTAACCGTCGTTTTTTTCTGTTTGGGGGAAAAGCCCCGCGTTCGTGGCCTTGCAGGTCCTCCACTTCGAATCGGCGAACGCCGCCTTCTGAGTCTACACCGCTTATGTGCATCCACACCGGCGCCGCGATTGGGGGGTCACCGGCTATGGGAGGGATCTTGGTTTTGGCCATAAAAGTGAAGGTATGGTTTACTGAAGAGAAACATGCTTTGAGGGGGTAATCGGTTTAGTCATGGGAGAGATAAAGAGTAATAATGTGTGATTTTAGGGAGTTAGTTTTGATTTTTTATTGGTAACTGTATCTAATCAATCTATATTAATTGTCTAGTATATATGCAAATAAAGTTTCATGATTTTGTAATTATGCTAAAGTTTATGTTCGAACGTATAAGTGCAAATAATTTGCTGTTAAGTCGTTCCTATATAATTTCCTCAAGAAAAAAAAGGAAATTGCTGGGGCCAACTCCAAGGCCCAATGAGAACAATAAGAACTGATTTCTTTGCTACTAGTACGGTACCCGTGTGATGCATGGGAGCATTTATTACCCATTTATTTTTTAAAATGTATTTTTATATTTAAATTGTCTCATGCCATTAAAAGTTTCATGAAAATGAAATTTATATGTTATTAAACACTTCCTTATGTACAACATTATTGATTTGATTATTTGGCACGTAAAGTACTACATAGGTGTTCGAATTTATCCAAAATTGCATATTATTAGTTATTAGTTAACAAATTTTAAAAAAAATTAAAGGATCTTATTTATTAAACAAAATTAAAGTAGAATTTTTTAGGGATTTTCACATATTACTTATTTTAAATCTAATTCTAAATTTCGATTAAGAAAAATTGAAAAGAATCATTAGTTACTCTTAGAAATGAAACCGATTTTTCTACTAATAAACCGATTTTTTTATCAAACAAATTGATCCGATTTTTTTTCAAACCAAATAAAAGAATTATCAATTTTTCCTAAAAATACAACTGAATTTTCCTAATATTGCACCGATTTTTGTACCAAACAAATTGAATTGAAAATAATTCTAATAAAAAATTGAAATAAATTGTTAATGTTTATGCAACTGTATATTTCCTAAAGAAAATGATATGAACTTAACAAAAATAAATAATAAAAAATGATATGAACTTACCGAAATCTCAGTAAAACATGGTTAAGAAAAAACATAAGAATCCAAAAAAATTGATGCATTTAAATTTTGAAAAGTTGCACACAATTTTTCCTAAATAATTGAATAAGGTAACTTTAAGTATCAATGATGAACCGCTTTTGTTACCAAAGAATGTGGACACAATTTTGAATGTACATCCCGTCCAAATATCAGTTTTATTTTAAAATAAAATTGATTTTCAAGAAAGTGTTCTTAAAATTCAAGAGTTAGAAGAAAAGTTCTTCACAATAACAAGAAAAGTTCTTGAGAGTTTCCTAAATTAAATCCATATAAATTCCTATACAAGAAAACCGAGTCATTCCTACTAGCGAAGGAAGGTCGTCGGAACCGGGATTCATAGGGTGGATACTGTTAGAGGGAAGACACTTGGATTCCTCAAGCGAGTAACCTCAATCCGTTGAAGTTATTAAACCGGGAACCGATTCCCTCAAGTTCATCGTTTGTGAAGGAGTTCAAGACAAATCGGTAAATATTTGTACTGGTATTTACTTTTATATAACAAATCAAAATTTGTATATTATTACATGTTTTAAAGATGACGATCAGTTAATTCGCAATTAGTATGTACGGGTGTTGTATTTATACGATAAATACTTACTTTGAAAAATTTTAAATTCCGCTGCTTAAAGCCCGTACGGTACTAGCGAACCCAACAGTGGTATCAGAGCCACGGTTTTCATCTTTAAAAACCGATTTTGATTTGTTAATGTTTATGAGATAAACAAAATAATTAAATGTTATAAAAATTCAATTTTTTCCACACGGGTCGTGTGAGGTGTCACACGAGTCGTGTGGATCCACACGAGTCGTGTGGCTCATCAAAATGATCAATTTCGATGGAAAGCAGGTCCACACGAGTCGTGTGAGTAGTCACACGAGTCGTGTGACTTATCAAAAGGTTTGATATTGCTTTCGGGTTTTTCACACGAGTCGTGTGACATTTTTTTACACGAGTCGTGTGGCATGACACGAGTCGTGTGACCAGTCGTGTGACCCAGTCGTGTGACTAAAACAAAATTATTTTTTATGCTTTAATTCATGTGATGAATGTTTTAGCATATTAAGGGATGATCATGAGCATTTTATTCAATATAATTGAATGTTTGCATTTTATATGATTGAATGATTGTAATTTATCGAGACCTGCGAGTCTCTTATGTTATGATTTGTAAAATTTTAAATTATTGCATCGTTAAAAGATTAGATCAGGTTGAAGACCGTTCGATGTGAAAGGCCCACGCTTGTGTGGGTAATTTTACAAGTTGTAAATTTTGAAGGCCTGTGTTTGTACGAGTAGATAAAATGAGATGTAATAGAAGTAGTTCTATTCATTTATTTTATCACGTATAGGCATAAACCCATTTTGGCTCGAATGGGTTGCATAGGACAAGGTCATGATCATCCCACCGTATGCATGCATTAGATGTATGTTAGGTTTATTTATGCTTGTGATTCATGCGATGAATAATGCGATAAATAAACACACGTAAAGATGGTAATCGATGAGATCTAATGAACCCAAAAACAATTAATTTGATTAATTCTATATCAAATCAATAATGGATAAAAATAAGTTGGGACTTATTAATCCGGGCCTTCCATCAAAAGTAGATGACATGAGATGCTACGATGTTTTATTACTGACCATGAGTCGTGGGGTGATTCTATGTCGAAAGCTGTGATCCCTACTAAGTATAAAGATACTCATGAGACGGATTCCTCTTTGTGTTGACCATGAGTCGTGGAACACTCTGATGGGCCGTTATCATGAATGTTTGATGGGTTTGATTTGACACCTAGTAATATATACGGTCATAAAATTGAGGTATATAAGAAAAAGTGAGGCAAAATATCTTGAAGGTTGTATAGAGATACAATTGTCAAAAGTTGACTACCGATAAAAATGTTTCATGCGTACTCATAAAATTGGGATATGGAATATTTTTATTGGACTTCAAGCCCACTACGAAAATGAGATTTTCATAATTAATATAGGGTTTAATTAAAATAGTGGGAGACA